AATCTAGTGCCAAGAATGGCAAAGGGAATTTATTTTTAGTCTCTATGCATGTAGTTATTTTTGCTGTACTGGAGATTGAACCAGGGCCTCTGAACTAAGATATAGCCCAGGCCCTTTTTCATTTTTGTATTTTGAGATGATGTGAATTTTGCAGCCTGTGCTCAAACTGCCTCAGCAGTTTGTGACCCTCCTGCCTCAGCCTCCCAGAATGCTGGATTAGAAGCATGTGCTACCACACCTGGCTTCCTTTTTTTTTTTAAGAATACAATTTTTCTGTTCATCAAGTTTAAGAACACTTGTGATTCATGAACTGACTTATGATTTTCTTGGAGGTTAGGGGTACAGAGCATGTGATTAGCAAGCTCAATGCCCGGAGTAAAATCTCTAACAAATAAATAGGACCAGTGGTGGTGAATGCGTGTAATCCCAGCATCACAATTTCAAGACTAACATCAGATACACAATTAGACCATGTCTCATAAAAATAAATAAAAAATAAAAAAAAAAAAGAATAAAGGCACTAGTAGAACAGATAGTGTCTTTTTGAAAACCATCATACAAATGGCTTCTTTTTGTTTGTTTTTGAGATGGAGTCTTGCTATGTTGTTCAGGCTTATCTGAATTAAACTCCTGTACTAAAATAATCCTCCTGCCTCATTCTCCCAAGTTCTGGGATTCCAGGTGTGTACCACTGTGCCTGGCTTTAGCTATCTCATTTTTAAGGAGACAAAAGCACAAATTCTCTTCAAATGTGAGTGTTGGTAGAACTGTAGCATAGTGTTCCCTGAAGAACAGGAAACTGTCTTGTAAAACAGGTTTACTAGCAGAAGGCCCTGCACAAGGAACACACATGCATCAGGTCACTCAGAGGACACCCAGATCTTCCCAGAATTTCAATGATGGATTGAACTTAGGTGTTGTGATATGGAAAAGGAAGCACTGTGTAAAGCAGTGAGGGCACGATACGGCTATTTCATGTTTTCAGGCTCTTGGACCCATTGTGCTTTGAGGCAAACTATGTGTGGAAATGGTGAGCGTAGCAAGACTACATGTGGGGAATGGGCCAGGAGGCCAGGGAAGCAGGCAGGACACAGGGTAAGCACTGCCAACACAGAAACTGTAAGGAGAGGCAAAGAGGGCTTGCTCTGTGGAAACTAGTCTAAAGAATGATAGCTGGGGACTCCTTGTTGCTCCTCCATTGAGGTCTGTCCTTACCCAAGACCCCCGAGATCTGGGGCAGAAGCTCATACTCCACCCATCTGTTGAGGTGGAAAACTCAGAGCAGGCTGCCATCAGGACACCTAGAGATGCTGTTTGCCCAGCACTGTCCCACATGCATACTCCAGTGCGGTTCAGAGGGCAGGTGACCCTTGGGACTCCACGTGTCATAGCACGTGGATACTGGGATGCAACTGGCAGTAATGCCACCATGACAGGGAAGCAGGTCTCCTGGTTATCTAACACAGGCCCCACCCACAGCCCTCATGCTTCAACCTGTCCTAGACCTGCTTGAGCATAACGGTGCCCTTGCCACCCTCTGTCACACAAGTGTCTGAACCACGAGCAATGTATCCACATTGGTTATGCACCTCAGAGTTTCGCTATCATGATGCAAACAGACAAAGGAGACAGGAGTGCTAGCCTGGCTGCACTCACACTGCATCACTTTGACCTCCTTCCCCAGCGGCATCCAGAGCCCTTTTGTGGGCGCGTGAGCCAGGAACTCCAGGCGTGCTCATTGCCCGGCATGTCTGGAATGCAGTCTTCTGGCTTGCTCTCATCTTCCTGCACAAAGGGAGGAGCACATCAACAACCTGTGCTAAAGCTTGGGCTCGCTCCTTCCTGCCTGGAACCCACAGCGCCTGGCCTGCTCCTGCACTTATCCCCAGTCACCCGAAGAATCAGAGATGTGTCATCCCAGTACTCTGGGCAGCTGAGGCAGGAGCAAGTATGAACACAGCCTGGGCAGCTTAGTGAGACACTTTCAGAATTCTAGGAAAAAGGACTGGGGTTGTAGCTCAGTAATAAGGGCCAGCTCGTACTACCTAGTGAGACTCTGTCTCAAAAAAAGCCCAGGCTGTACTCAAACTTGCAATCTTCCTGCCTCAGCTTCATAGTCTGGGATTAGACATGCACTACCATGCCTATTCCTATGACAGAAGTCTTGTTTAATTCAAAGGTACCAGACAAGACAGGTTTTCAGCTTCACTCGCTACCCCAGAGCCCCTCTATGCAGTAGCCCCCCCCAACAAAGGGTACAGGCAGGGGTCCCTGTCCATAGCCTGCTGTCTGAGCCGAGGACCCTGGAAACCCCAGTGTGGTAGCCTGAGTTCCTGGAAAGGTGTGCCCAAAAAGCAGGTGCAGAGCCTAGAGAAGACATGGTACAGGGAGTTGCAGGACCTGACCCGGTGGGTACAAGGCCCAGCATGACACAGAACTCAGCAGTGCCCATCTGGTGGCTGCAGGTCAGAAGCAGGGGGCTCATACCAGCAGGTTCAAAACCCATGTGCCTATTTCTCACAGTAAGTACTGGTGAACAGCTAAGAGTCCAGGTGTCAACACTGACCTTGATAAGCCCAGGAGGCGGCTTCTCATAACTGTAAAATAAACACAAATCCAAACCTGTTAGCAGGAATATAGCATACTGAGCTAATGCAAAGCACAGCTGTAGTTTTTTTTTTTTAAGCAGCACTGGGATTGAACCCATGGCCTTTGCACTCAGCCACGACCACAGCTCTTTTTACTTTTTGAGACAGTCTTGCTAGGTTAAGGTGTCCAAACTGGGCTCAGACTCCTGACCTTCCTGCCTCAGGCCCCCAGAGATCTAAGCTATCAGGCCTTAGCCACCGTGCCTGGCTCATAAAGCTTCTAATCTGAGATTCATAGCAAGGAAATGCTGCCAGCTTGATCCAAGGCCCAACGATGACAGCAGACAGCAGAATGCTTCCCTGCCCTGGTCCCCAGACACTGCTTGGGCCTCTTCCTCCCTCAAGGGACTGTGCTGCAGGGAGGCAGGCAGCGACACTGGAAAGGTGATGCACAGGTCTGTATTTGCATGGAGAGAGCAACCCCAGGCGCTCGGACATCCATCCCAACTCGAGAATTTGGTGTAGACATCTTCAGCTCAGTTCTGTGCCTTATTTTCTAAACTCCAGGGAAGCACTTCATTCCATACGAAGCACTTCCGAATGGCTTACCAGGATAGAAACATTCCTTTTCTTTCTTGTGATTTTCATTTTGGTGGTTCTGGGGATTGAACCCAGTGCTCTCACACCGGGTGAACTTCTTTATTTTTTGAGACAGGATCTTGCTAAATTGCCCAGGTTGGGCTTAAACTTGTGATTCTCCGGCCTCAGCCTCCCAGAGTGATGGGATTACAGGTGTGCACCACATGCTTTGCCCCCTGTAGCTCATTTTTCAGATGGAAGGTGAATCTTTTTTTGTACCATTTGTTAAGCCCTACAGTTCAGTAGTCACTGAGGTTGCATGAGCTCCCCTGAGCAGTAAAAACATTAATTTATCTAGGAAGGGAGGAACATCTCAAGTGGATATGGGGTGGGAAATCATTAGTATTTTAAATCACTTTGTGCCAGGTGTGGTGGCACACACCCATAATCCCAGCACTGTGGAAGGCTGAGGCAGGAGGGTTGCAAGTTCAAGCCTAGCTTCAGCAACTTAGCGAGCTCCTGTCTCAAAAAATTATAGACAGTAGGGCTGGCAAGATGGCTCAGTGGTCTAAAGCACCTACTTGGAAAAAGCTTGGCAAAGCACAGGGACCGTGGTTCAATCCCCCAGCACCACATGCCAGCCCGCCCCGCCCCCAGGTGGGCTGAGCTGGCCACGTGCGCGCGCACACACACACACACACTAAACAAATAAATGTTAAAAAAAAGAATAAAAAAAAATTATAGACAAGATGAGGTCTGGGATTTAACCCCAGTGCCAGCCAATGTGGAGGAAACCGCTTTTGCTGGGGTGCGATGGGTGAGATTTGAGAAGGGTCCTCATTGTCAGTGTCTCCATTCCACAGGTGGGCTGCTGGGCAGAGACTGTGGGCAAGTGCCGTACAGTCAAGGTGAGGGCTGCTGGGGAGACTGAGGCAGATGGGCCAGAACAGCAGAGGACTGCATGGCGGTTGTCCTCTGCCCTTAGTACAAAACTGGATGGGTGCTGAGCTACTTGCACCACCCTCTGTACTGCATACTTTTTATTTTAAGGCTGAATTTCGTTAAATTGTCCAGCTTGGAGTGGAACTTGCAACCCCTCTGCCTCAGCCTCCGTCAGCACTGAGATGACTGACAGGCAAGCGGCAATGCGCCTGGCCGGTCTCTCACTATTAACCCTGAATAGAGACTCAAGACGCCTTGACGGAGAAACAAAACATAGGTTAGCCACGAGTTCGCGGCCAGCTTGGGCCACAAGTAGATCTGACTCAAAAAACTAGCAAACTTCAACACACAGATCAGAGGCAGAGTGGAATTGCAGCGGCACAGGAGGGGCACCCTGAGGCAGGCCAAGGTCCCTTCCAGGCAAAGATCCCTTCCAGGCCAAGAAAGTTCCCGCGCCCGAGGAGCCTGAGGACGCCACGCAAGGCACGGCGGGGGCGGAGCGACGCAGTCCCAGGCCCCGCCCCGCGCTCACAAGTGCTCCAGATGCCGCAGCTCCCGCAGCTGCTTCGGGTCCCGCCGCCTCCGTTTCTGCTCCCGGCGCCGCCGCAGATCATGCTCGGGTTCCCGCGGCCGCCGCGCGCCCCCCACCCCTGCGCCGCTGGGTTCTGGCCGGGACGACATCGCGGACTCGCGTCGCGCGTTTCTGCCCGCTCGCCTGGCCACCGTTGCCCCCTGGCGGAAGACGGTGGGGCAGGCTGGGGACAGGATGATTGGGGGCGGGGCCTGAGAGTGCTTCCGGGGACCGGAAGGGGTGGGACCGAGAGGACTTCCTGGGGCCGGAGGCGGGGGGGGGGGGGGGGGGGGGTGTCGGGTCCTGAGGGGAGGGCTGCGGAGCTGGAGCGGGCCTTCTACGCTGGAGCTGCTGTTAACGGAGATAGGTATTAATAGGATTCACCTTTTATCAGAAAGAAGCAAGGCTCTCAGTTACTAAGGGAAAGCCTAAATAGATAGACCGACTGCTGTTTCTTTTTCTTTTTTAGCAGAATTGGGGATCAAACTCAGGCCCTTGTGCTTGCCAGGCAGGCGCTTATTCTACTGAGCTATCTCCCCAGCCCCGCACCACTGTTTCTTGCCCTCTGTTAATTTCAAGGTCTGATGTTCTTGGGACCTAGCAGTGCAGTTCAGTGGTCGCTGGCCGCGAGGAACGAAAAAAGAAACTCATCCCTGACGTTGGAGCTTACAGGTCAGCTCCGTGGCCCCTCAGGTACTGCAGTACTCAGCTACTCCAGATGCTGACTAGGGGCGCAGACTCCCTGGCTTGGAGCTGGCCCATTGGATAGGTGAGGTCTCTGTACCCATTGCACTGCCCTTTTGTGCTCCTCGTGGATGGCTGAAGGAGGTTTCTGTCTGGAGTCAGTCTTGGGCCACCTCGACTAGCTGTGAGTTCAAGGACAACCTGTGCTACATAGTGAGTTCAAGGCCAGCATGAGTTATGTAGGGAGACCCAGTTTCAAAAAGTTTTGTTTCCAGTGGGTTAAAGTGCCTGCTTAGGCAGAGTGCCAGGAGCAGAGTTAGACCCTGGGCGTGCCATGCTGGCCCTGCCCCTGGGACAACCTGAGTCAAGGATTAAGACGGCGTGGTGTCACGCACTTCTAAACCCAGCGTTTGGGAGGCTGTAAACTGGAGAATCACTACAAGTCCAATCTGTAGTGAGACCTTGTACTAAATACATTTTAAAAAATTGGTTTTTTTTCACTTGTGAGTTATGGTAAAAGGTGATGAGATCTGTGTGCTGCGTTTTAGATGATGGCACACACCTAGTGCCTGTTACATTTCTTTATATTTGGGTCGGGGAGCAAAGACCCTGGGTGCTAGCTGTAGTCTCTTTTGTCCCTAACACAGACAGGTGTAAGAATCTAACTTGGGTTAGGGCAGGCCATTCTGGTCCAGGTTGAAATCTAGGTTCAGAACAAAACAAAACAAATTTCTGTTCTCTGTATCGGACATAAGGATCTATGCACATTGGGAATTTTTAAATATGGTTTGTTAGCTTGCTGTTTCTCTGACAGAATTCCTAAGGGTTACACCTTAAAGAAGGAAAGTTACTTTGACTCACAGATTCAGAGTTTTGGGTTCATAGTCTGCTGGCTCCATTACCAAGCTGGGCCTGGGCTACGGCACAGCATCATAGAAGAGGGGGCAGTGTGTGGGAGGCACAGTAACTCCAGGCCTCCAATCCTATTGCTAGTGGGTTTCCGGGTTCCTGTGAAACTGCCACATCATGATTCCTTACCACTTATCCCTTAATGGTCACTTGAGTGCCTCTGACCTATAAAATTCTCTTGGTGCATCAGCGTCATTAGTGCCGATGACTTCCTCTTCTCCTACCTCAGCTGAGCTAGGTTCCTAATTCTCACCCCGCCTGTTTCCCATAAGTCTCCTGCCATGCCCCGGAGGTGGGACTTCCTGTCATAGTCCAGTTGCCTAGTTACTCGCGCCTTTTACCCGCCGTCATTTCCCTATGCCTCCACAATATATACCCAGCACCTCCCCTGAATAAAAGAGACTTGATCAGAATTCTGTCTTGTCTCCATTTCTCGCGTCTCCTGTCCTTTGTCCCCTCCTCAATTCCCCGCTCCTCTCGCAGGTGACCTTCATTGACTGACCCGCTGGTTCGGGACAGCAGTGTGGAGCAGTCACCTCATAGAAAGCCAGGATGAGAGAGAGAGGAAAAGCCTGTGGTGGGCTTCTCCTGCTTTTGTTCCAGCTGGACCCCCAGCATATTGGACAGTGCCACCAACATGGTAGGCAGGCCTCCCCCTCAAATTACTGTCCCAGATACCAGTGGTTTCTGGATATACTCGGAAGGGTGCTTTACTAATTGTCTAGGCATTGTCTTAATCCAGCCAGATTGACAGATAGCATATTTTATGATTATCTTTATTTTCTACATTATTACTATTGTTATTTTTGTGTATTTGATACAAGGTCTCACTACGCAGCCTGGACTTGTAGCATCCTCCTGTTTTCAACCATCCCAGCTAGGATTACAGGCATGTGCCACCATGGCATGGGGCAGGGCCAGTGCGGCATGTAGTGCTGGGGATCGAATCCTGGTCCTTGCACTTGCCTAAGCAAATGCTTAGTCTGCTGAGCTACCTCACCAGCCCTATTTTCTACATTATTAGAATAGTTATTTGGTACAAAATAAAAATTTCCCTTTTCTCTCTCCTCTACCTTTTATCATATACAAACTCTATATATTCTCATTTTGTTTTTAAAAACTAAACATGATGAAGTGTCTTTGACTAATGCTTTATATTAGAATTCAAGTGTTTCTAAACCCCAGGTGCATTTAGCTATTTGATCTTTGACAGTGGGATAAAATACATACTGGAGGACAGCCTCTTTAATAAATGGTGCTGGGAAAACTGGCTATCTACATGTAGAAGTTTTAAGTCAAGACCTGCATTATTTATGATGTACTAAGCTAAAAAAGTGGATTAAAGATCTAAATGCTAAAACAATCTGCTGGAAGATGAAATGGCTAAAACTCTTGAAGTCATAGATATAGGTAAGGGCTTTCCGAACAGAACCTTGGTTATACAAAAAATAATTCCAAGAATCAATAAATGGGATCATACCAAATTTAAAAACTTTTTTTTTAAAAAATGTATTTGGCATACAGTCCCACTACGCAGCTCAGACTCATAGTGACCCTCCTGTTTACAGCCTCCCCAGTGCTGGGATTACAGGAGTGTGCCACCATGCTTGGTTTTGGTGGCCAGTGTGCCTGGGGGCAGGACTGGCACAGCATGGCACCACATGATGGTTAAAGCCCTGTCCGTGCACTTATCTGAGCAGGTGCTTAGTCTGCTGAGCTATCTTACTGGCCCCAAATTTTAAAATTTGCATAGTAAAAGAAACCGCAAATAGAGCAAAAAGAAGACCCATGGAATGGGATAAAATTTTGACAGCTATTCTTGGACAGAAGACTAATATCTAGAAAATATAAAGAATTGTAAATAATTAGGCCAGCCAAAATAAAAGACCCAATCAAAAATTGAGTACATGAAATGAACAGACACTTTATAGAAGTACAGATGGCCAATAAACAAAGAAGTGTTCAGCATTGCTTGCCATTACAGAAATGCAAATCAAACACTCAGATTTCATCTTACTCCAGAAGGAATGACCATAATTAATAGCAAATGCTGGTAAGGGTACAGGGGAATGGAGCCCTTATGCACTGTTGGTGGGAATGTAAAATAGCACAACCACTGTGGAAATCCTCAAAACACTAAAACTAAAAAGTCAGTTGGCTCAGCTATTCCTCTTCCAAGTATCTTTGATAGAGTTAAATACGTCATTTCAGTGACACATGCATTCATAGCAGTACAATACATAATAACTAAATCTTGGAAGCAGCCTATATGTCCATTAACAGATAAATAGATAAATAGCATATATCTATATACAATGAAGTGCTACTGTGCTGTAAAGAAAGATGAATGAGTTATTTATAGGAAAATGGATGCACTTTGAAACCACAAAAATAAGTAAAATAAATCATAAACATTCTGAAATATCACATAGCTTCTCTTATATGAGAAAGCCAAATAATAGCCAAATAAAAGACACATAAGAGAAAGTAAGATGATAGGTCTTTCTCAGGTGAGAAGAGATCAAAAGATGAAGTGGGAGGGAGGAGATGGGAAGAGAATGAAAAAGGTAATGAAGATGTGTTACGTATGTGTACCAGTGCCACACAAGGAATGTAAATATATATTATATGTTCAATTAAAACATTGAAAAAAAAAGAAAAAGAAAGAAAGAATGATAGTAATTTCAAATTGCCTAGAAAATAGCTTTCAAAAAGCACTTACCTTAATTGTGGGATACAGAAGTGCTGATGAATAAAGAAGAATTTTTTTGATCTTTGAATTTGTAACTAAAATCTTACAGAAGTATAACTGAAATGAATAAAGTTGGTCCCACAGTTGTGAGTTATTGTTAAACTGATTAACATTACCTCCCCCTCACCCCCTTACTTGACTATATGTTTTGGGCCTGCAGTGCTGGCCCTGCTCACTTGGGTGCGCTGAGATGTGATTGAGACGGGGCATGGTGGCACGCACCTGTAATCCCAGCTCTTGGGAGGCTGTAAACAGGCGGATCACTATGAATCCGAGTCCGATCTAGTAGTGGGACCCTGAACACCCTGTGGACCCTTCCCTAAAAAACAAAAAAAAAAAAAAAGAAAAAGGAAAAAAAAAAGGAAAAAAAATGAATAAAATTATGAAATAAAATAGGTCTAAAAGATTTGAAATAAAATATGTCTCAGGTATAATTAACATAATTGTGAAGCCCTAAGAGTTTTGTCACAGTCTTTGGGAAAAACTGATTCTGAGAGACGAGAGATACATACACTGGTGCCAGTTTCAACTCCTTGTACTGCAAAAAGGGGCAAAAATCCCTTTTAGTTGTAGGATACTGTGTAACAGTACAAGTAAAGCCCCATCTTGTGTGCAGATCATCACTTAAAGCTAATATTTTATTTTATTATTTTTATGTAAAGTACAGGCTCTACAGGATCTCACTACACAGATCGGACTTGTAGTGATCCTTCCTGTTTTTCAGCTTCTCAAGTGCTGGGATTACAGGCATGTGCCACCACACCCAGTCTCAATCATGGTCTCAGTGCACCCTGGGGTAGGGCTGGCACCCGGTAGGCCAGGGGAT